TTATATATATATATAAATGTATCTTCCAGTTATACACTTTTATATCTTTTTTTGCAGCTGTATCAGTCTTAGCTCTCCGTCAGTGACTGGGTTCTCTGAGGAACTGGCTTATTAATCTCTCAAAATGCTGCAAATATTGTGTTTATTTGTAAAAATCTGTTTTTAAATGCTTATAATGTCTTGTCCTCAGTGAAATCTCTTGACAGTGAATTTCATAGACAAATTTTAACCAGTATCTCCCCACAATATCTTTTTTTCTGTTTCAATGTATTTTTGATCAACAGCTTGTGTTCGTATCATGAAAGATCAAGACATGACAGACTTGCACTTTGGGTCTTTTTAGCTTTGTAATTTATACACTGAAAGGTTTTTCTCCATTCAGCAGTCCGTGCTCAAAGTGTGAATATTGTATATTTAATTCTCGCTTTAAAGCTGAGAAATTTCAGCTTAATGAAACTGAAAAAGGGACTGAAAATGTGATAGGAATTTTTGCTATGGAATTTTGCATTTACTGAGTCAAAACGTTCTCGTAAAGGGTGTATAAAACTGAAGCTGGGGGCAGTAGAAGGAGCCGAGGGTCTGCCTTGAATAAATCAATCAACGAGGATGTGGGGAAAGAACAAATGGGTTATTTGGGCTGGTCAGGGCTGCAGTTCCTGAGCTGCAGGTGATTGGAGGACGAGGAGCTGCAAAAGCTGGGAATCGAGGCTGGAAGGGGCTGCCCCTCTTTTTATAGTGTACCAAGAACCTACCAGGTTGCCATCTCTGTTTCCACCCGATCCCGGGCGGTTCCCCCAGTTCAAACCAGTCCCACAGGCAGCATCTGCTGGTTTCCCGGCGCCACCTCTTGGTCGTTCCTCCTGCCGGGCTGGAAGCTCGTGATTTCCACGCTCCCTACTCACTGCACACCGGGCTTTTCCAGGAAATAGTATTAAAGTAAGTGTAATGCAAAGGAGAACGGGACATTGCTCAGGGTTTGGTTGAAAGCAGAGCTCTAGAACACGGGCTTCAGGTGGCTCGTTCCTGGGAAGGTTGGTGGCAAGGATTGCAGGGGTCGGTGAGAGCTGGATCCTGGTTCCTTGATCTCAGCACATCTTTCTGCTCTGGGGGTTCTCTGTACCATGCTGGATCCTGGTTCCTTGATCTCAGCACATCTTTCTACTCCTCTGCCCCTCAGGTGAGACCCTCCACTGGAGAGCTGCTCCAGCCCTGGGGAACAGCACAGGAAGGACGTGGAGCTGCTGGAGAGAGTCCAGAGGAGGCCCCGGAGATGCTCCGAGAGCTGGAGCCCCTCTGCTCTGGAGCCAGGCTGGGAGAGCTGGGGGGGTTCAGCTGGAGAAGAGAAGGCTCCAGGGAGACCTGAGAGCCCCTTGCAGGGCCTAAAGGGGCTCCAGGAGAGCTGGAGAGGGACTGGGGACAAGGGATGG